TTCCATTTTCTCCACATCCTTGCCAGCATTTAAAAATTTTTGGTAATAGCCATTTTAAATGGCTAAGATGAAATTTCTTCCTTCCTTCCTTCTTTCCTTCCTTCCTTCCTTCCTTCCTTCCTTCCTTCCTTCCTTTCTTTCATTCTAGGGATGGAACCCAAGGCTTTGTGCATGCAAGGCAAGTACTCTACCAACTGAGCTATCTCCCCAGCCCTGATGGTATTGTAGTTTTGATTTCCACTTCCCTGATGAGTAATATTATTGAGAATTTTTCATATATTTGTTAAACATTTTTCTTTTGAGAAGTGTCTATTCAGATCATTTGCCCATTTTAATTGGATTACTTATTTTTTTGTTAAATTTTTAAAATTCTTTATATATTCTTGATATTAGTCCTCTATCAGAGGAATAACTAGCAAACATTTTCTCTCATTCTGAAGGTTGTCTCTTCACTCCATTAATCATTTACTTTGCTCTATGCATTAGCTTTTTAGCTTGATGAACTTCTGTTTGTCAAGTTTTGCTGTTGTTCCTATGCTTTGAGAGACCTATCCAGAGAATCATTTATTTATATATATTTTTTTGTACTGGGTTAGAACTAGTGGCGCTTTACCACTGAGCTATATCTGCTGTTTATGGATACCCAGTTTTCCCAGCATCATTTGTTAAAGAGGCTGTCCTTTCTCTAGTTATGCATTTGGTCCTTTTGTTGAGGATCAGTTGGCTCTGGATGCATAGGTTCTTAAGTTTGTTCCAATTTTTTTTTTTTTTTAATGTCAATACCATATTGTTTTTATTACTGTGGTTCTGTAGTTTATCTGGAAATCAGGTATTATTATGCCTCTAGCTTTGCTCTTTTTGTTTAAGGAAGCTTTGTTTATTTAGTTTTTTCTGTGCTTCATATGAATTTTAGGATTGTTTATTCTAGTTTTATGAAAAATGTGATTGATATTTATATGGAGGTTGCACTGAATCTGTAGATCTCTTTGGGTCATAGGTAATTTTGGTTGTGGGCTTTTTGTAYATAGCCTTTATTATGTTGAGGTATGATCCTTCT